TATTTGACAGTTCAAAACATATATAATTATATTAAAATAAAAAACTTTTGTTTTCTTGACAAATTTTTACACATTATACACAAGTATTCTGAAGTAGTTGTCATGGAATGGTAAATAATCTGCTTTATTGACAAAAAAAAAACATATATATATACATCCATATGAAAAGAAAGAATTTCAAAGTTTTTTTTATATAAAAAATAAAACAACAAAAAGAAATTCTCTGTGTGTTTATTCCATCAATATGTTTGAGAATAAATTGTATCCATCATATTTCCTCTCCATTATGTACTACTTTGATTTTGTTGTTCAGGAATTAAGTTCAGCTTTGACATTTGTTTAAGTAACCTAACCTTTTGAGTTGTTCAAAGTCATGGGAGATGTCACCACAAAGTTTAATATGTGTGATTGGATTTGAAAAATAAACAGGAAATTTCAATAAAATGCAACAACTACATTGACCTCTTATGGATATATATAATCAGCAAACTTTTAAATGCGTGAAATTTCAAAGAATTGAAAAATTTTTAGTTAATTTAAAATCCTATTAATTTTATTAATGCACACAATAATTGAGTGGATGCAAACATCAAATTTATTATTATTCTCATATATATAAAGCAATAAAGTGAACATTTATGCCACTAACGAGAGCAATAGCCAATTAATCTAATTATTCAAATGATACTTGCATCAAAACATTCCTTGAGTTCCTGAACACTACACCGGTGCTGGCAACATTAATTTATAAAGATTGTTATAATGCAAGCATCAAAATGATATTCCTCTAGTATGTTCATGGGCGTCGGAAGCAAATTGAAAGTGGGGAGGGGGGGGGGGCTAAACCAACAAAAAAAGGTAAATCATGATTTTCAATGCCTATGTAAGGTTATAAGGTTTATTTTTGCGAAAAAAAGGGGGGGCTAAGACCCCCCCCCCCCGGTTCCGACGCCTATGATGCTTAAGCATGCATTGAACCATAGTGATGATATTTTACGACCACTTTGCTCTCACCCTAAAATAATTCATGTAACTACTTATAAGGGATGTAACACCCGTCCGGTATTATCATGGACACTTTTTCTTCATTATCACATTTTCGAAGTCAAAGGCAATCTCGGACAGCAAAATCATTTTTTTCCCCTCTTTTTAAATTTTGTTTTCTACAGGTTAAAATAACTTCGTCAAGGAAAACAAAATTGCTCAACCAGTAAATCTGTCATTTTCACATTTTTTTTCCTATTAATTTATTTCAATTATCTACTGTCCTAGTGAATTAGACACAATTAAATATGCTCGGTAAGCACGTGTTCACATATATCCATGGTAGAAAGATCATACCCGTATAGGATCTGTCGAATATATTATATACTCTATGGAATGACAATTTTATTACCCCCTTCCCCATATTACTAATAACTGGAACCATTTGAACATCAACGAGATGATAAACTGGGACGTGAAAATGGAACACGTCAACCCCCACCCCCTCTCCCAAAGTAGATTCTCATATACGTTTTCTACAGTCGGGTGATTGCATGCTACTCACTATACATGTATATGAAATTAATTACATGTAAGTTAAAATGGGATGTAAAGATTAATGATAGTTTATAGCTAGGTGAAGCTCTTGGCTGTTTAGAACACGTTTGCTTATAAATAGAGAAGCTCTGGTGATATGTAATTCAAAATTAATTTAAAATAAGATATTTAAAAAATCAAAAACCCCAAGACTCTGTATATAAAGCATATCAAACAAAATTCCTGTCATTCAGGGATTTTTTTCTTCGTGATATTTATATGACGTCCACTTTCATGCCAAGATTATATATATTCGAAGACATTCTTATTTGTAAAAACCCGCTTGAAAAGTGTGAGGGTATATATATAGTGATTCAGTCCATCTGTCTGTCCGTCTGTTAGGCTTTTGTTCTGCTTGTAATTTTTCAAATAAAATTTAGTTTACACAAATTTAAATTTAGTTTAGAGATACATTATTTCAGTCGAAAGATTTTGTAGTTGTAATATGTGTCCTTTCAAGTCAAACAATTTCAATGGGAGTTTCTTTGATATTTACAATAATCATAGAGATTTCTATAGAAATATCACCAATATCTGACTACACCAGATGGTAGCTTCCGTGGCCAGCTTAATTTTGAAAATTGAATTTTCAAAATGACATGACTAGAAAGTTTTAAGACCACCAACAAAAAAAAAGAAACAACTTAAATCTATATAAACTTTATTTATAATATTTGCATAAATATTTTGCATAATTGCGCTGCATGTGGAAAAGTAATATAAATCAAAACAATGGCTAAACATTGAAGATATTCAATGTCTAATCCACTTTACAATTCAACAAAATTGTTCAAATAGTTTGTCAAATTACTTGTACATGTAGTTAAACTTTGATATTAGACATTACATGATGTGCATAAATATATGTGAACATTTCAAGGGATTTTGTTAATTTTCAATAAATTAATATATACCAGGAAGAGAAACGGTGTACATGTATATAACGACTTATGGACAGATCAAACAATTTACCAACACTAACAATAAAAGGGACATGACATACTACTAAACGGAAAAAAAAAACAAGCCAGACGTTAACAGACAGACGGACATCTCGATTACTATTTTTCTAGCGGGGTATACATAAGAGGTGCAAAATGACATTATCTTTGAAAGTATCATTATACTGCTTGAAAAGTGGGCGGGTATACTGTAATCGGTTTGTCCGTCCGTCTGTACGCCCAGCCGTCTGTCTGTTACTAGGGTTAGGTTAGGATTAGACTTAGAGCTAAGGTTAGGGTTGGATTTAGAGCTAGGGTTAGGGTTAGGGTCAGGGTTAGGGTTAGTCTGCAAGGGTTAGGATTAGCATTAGGGTTAGAGCTAGAGCTAGGGTTAGGGTTAGACTTAGAGCTAGGATTAGAGTTAGACTTAAAGCTAGGGTCTGGGTTAGGGTTAGATTTAGAGCTAGGGTTAGGGTTAGTCTGCAAGGGTTAGGATTAGCATTAGGGTTAGAGCTAGAGCTAGGGTTAGGGTTAGACTTAGAGCTAGGATTAGAGTTAGACTTAGAGCTAGGGTAAGGGTTAGGGTTAGATTTAGAGCTAGGGTTAGGGTTAGGGTTAGTCTGCAAGGGTGTGGATTAGCATTAGGGTTAGAGCTACAGCTAGGGTTAGTGTTATACTTAGAGCTAGGATTAGAGTTAGACTTAAAGCTAGGGTCTGGGTTAGGGTTAGATTTAGAGCTAGGGTTAGGGTTAGGGTTAGTCTGCAAGGGTTAGGATTAGCATTAGGGTTAGAGCTAGAGCTAGGGTTAGGGTTAGACTTAGAGCTAGGATTAGAGTTAGACTTAGAGCTAGGGTAAGGGTTAGGGTTAGAGCTAGGGTTAGGGTTAGGGTTAGTCTGCAAGGGTTAGGATTAGCATTAGGGTTAGAGCTACAGCTAGGGTTAGTGTTATACTTAGAGCTAGGATTAGAGTTAGACTTAGAGCTAGGGTAAGGGTTAGGGTTAGATTTAGAGCTAGGGTTAGGGTTAGGGTTAGTCTGCAAGGGTGTGGATTAGCATTAGGGTTAGAGCTACAGCTAGGGTTAGTGTTATACTTAGAGCTAGTGTTAGGGTCCATCTCTTATCCGCAACTCCTCTCATACCACTGAATGACATTTAGTGAAACTTTCACATAATCTTTATTACATGTTGCCATTTTGCACCTCCTATTTTACTTTTTGATCCGATACATATTTTGGGTTTCCCATAGCATAACATGGACACTGTCATAATATTCTAGCTTCGATAGAATTTAAATTTGGGTTTTCCAATCAAAAAACCCTGTCTTTGTCTTTCTTTCTATAATACTCGGACCGATCTCTTTACAACTTGAAACTTTATTTCATAGTGCCATCTTGAACCTCCTACTTTACGCTTTGACCGGGCAGATCATTTTGTTCCCTACAGGACAAGATGATTCTTGCCATTATACTTACATGTAATGAGGACGTACCCAATTCGTTAGTGCAACTACTCCTAAATCCCAGAATATTCAACGAAGCCTTTACAGAATCCCTTTTTTACTCACATGCATGGGGGTGGGGATGGGGGGTATTTATGTATCATTTTGTGAGGTTAGTGCAAGTCTTGTGGATCTTCCTTCCAACATCAAACAAAAGGCTTTTGATTGTGCCTAACCCTTTTATTCATATTCTCGAAATATCTTCAGTGGAATATAAACTCCTATTTATTTAAGGCCACAAGGTCAAATAATTTTGAGTTAAATAAAAATGAAGTTCAAAATGTTAAGATGCTTTGCTTGTCACATATACTAGTATATCAGAATGTGTACAATGGCTGCCTCTGTCTATTAGATCATCCATAGTTGTACTTATGTTAGTATATGTAAAAATTCTCCAAACTAAAGCTGACTCTTTTAATTGTTGGGAACATATGCATTTCATATTCAATTTTCCTTCAAGTTAACTGTAACCTCCATCCATTGGTTTTGAACTTTAAATTTTTGTTGTTAGTCCATAATGTGTGACAGAAAAGAAGAAAATGTATGATTCGACTAGGAATGGAACTAAGACCACTGCATCACTAGCCAGGTGCTCTCTGAGAACAGGGCATTTCACTTTTGACTACTTAATGATACAGAATAAGGAGAAAGGATTTGAAACTGAAGAGAACAGTTAACTTTAAGTGTAATGATCAGAACACATTAATAAACATCTAAATGCAATATAACATTTCAGATATTCCTTCAAACATCAAGTGTTAAGGAGACTAGAGGAATGTTTTCATTTCAAACAAGAAATAATTTTGTCATAATTTGAATTTCATATACATGTAATTTGGTTTAAATTGTAAAATTGGCTCAAAAAATTGATTTTAACTAGAGCTAAATTTGTACATGTATATGGTAACCCGAACATTTGTACAGACCTTGAAAATAAGGAAACAAGAAGAACAAATAAGAATAAACTGTGAATACATGTATAAGATATGAGTTCTTTAATGGTAGTGTAACAATAACTGGTCATGTTTAACATTATAATGCAGTATTCAATTTATCAAAATATGCCTGCTGCCATTCAATTCATGTTTGAATATATAATAAAATATGCTGAAATCAATTAAATATTTATTGCTCAAGAAAATATTGAAAATATACAAATATGCTCTCATCCAAATTAAAGGCATGTGCATACATTCAAATTATTTGCTAACAACAAAAAATAATATGTGTATAATAAGTAATGTACACATGAAAAGCTTATAAATTAAACAAATGACAGCAAACTTAACAAAGAAAATAATATTCTTATAATGCTTGCAAATGCTTGCAGCAATAATAGCTTAAAAACAAAATATTTAAGTAAAAGAGTAACAAGGGGCCAATGGACCTTAACAGTCACCAGAGGAGAATACAACCCTGAGCATAGAAATTTTTCTAAGAATAAATTAATAGGTGAGCCAAACTGTATGCCAAAATTAATTAAGACTGCTTAAGTGGTTTCAAAGAAGTTGAAAATTTCCATATGATAGTGCACCATTGTTAGATTGACTTGGGTGACCTAATATTCATAATAATCTACACAGTAACTACCGTAAATCTGGAAATGTTTACGTCGATTTTATTATGTGAATCTGGGTTGTAATGCTGTTGATTAATTTTTACGTTTCAAAATTTTGCGAATGACTACTACTTTGATTAAATTTTCTTATTGTTGAATTAATTTGAAGAAATATATTTTTGTGAATGCAATGAACTCGCAAATTTGCTAAAAATTTATCTACAGCAAAAATTTCTAGATTTACGTTATTCAATCTGCTATTGAAAGTTTTGCATTTCAATTTGTAATTAACACATGCTTGACTAAAAATTCTAACATGGTATTCAATACTCGGTTATATTTCTCTTTTTACATGAGTGTGAAAATTGTGCTTTTTTCTTAAATTAATGACAACTTTGATAAATTCTTGTTCTACAAGTCAAATATACAATGCACCAAGAAAATATTTGTATAGAAAAGCTAGTTCATCTTTAATCCATTTCAACCCTGCATTTTCTTCTTCATTGCATTGGCTGTTTGGGCAAGGACAAATTATAAGGAAGGGTACATCGCTGAAATACAAGAAAAGTCAATATTAAATAATAAATCATGAATTAATAAAAAAAATTTGTAATTCAAACTAGAAATACATATGTCCATAGGACATGAATGCTCCGCCGAGGATATATTAGTAAAGAAAAGTGAACATTTGTATGTGTATAAAATTTGATCAGTTTGGTTCAGGTAGGGCTTATAGTTACTAGGGAATAAAAATGTAGGTCAGATCCAGCATCCGAAGCAAGTCTGGTAGTGTCCATCCTTAGAAGCATCATCCATGCTAGTTTGGTCCAAGTAGGGCATATAGTTCCTTAGAAATGGACCTGCTCCAAAAATTTAATCTGGTCACTCATCTGGAAAATGTAGGTCAGATCTAGCATCCAAAGCAAGTCTGGTAGTGTTCATCCCTAGATGCATCATCCATGCAAGTTTGTATCAACATGTGAAGTTTGATAACACCATCTTGAATGGTATGTTTAAAACTGAGCTAAACACTAATTTAAGAAAAGTGAGGTCAAGGTCAAAGTAAAGGTAAAAAAATGTTGTTGCAGTTGCATAGCTCTCAATATCTATCAACATATGAAGTTTGATGAAAATATCTTGGATAGTGTCTTTGAAACTTAGCTTTGAACAGAGCTAAACACAAAGTGTGACGGAAAGACGGAAGGACAGAAGACAGACATGACAAATACTATATGCTCCGGCCATATTCATGGTGGTGCATAAAAAGGTCTGAGTACATGTGGAAGCTATAAACATACAAACTTCAAAAAGGCATAGCAATTCAATATACATGAATAACATTTAAATAATTACTATTAAAAAATTCAGATGTTAAGATGTCATCCACAAGCAGAAATGGTCTACCTAGATATCAATTGGATAGTGATCATCTTAAGGGGCCTGCTGTTTTTTCGTAAGTTTCATTTGGAAGAAATAGACTTGGTTTAGAGGAATGTATTTGGAGCTTGACCTTGACTTGACTAAGACCTTTTTGTGTGAGTTGGAACCATGCATTTTAAGAAACTCACCAAAGTTTCAAGTTTGTGATGGTTCACTGGACTGGAATCAGCATGGGGAGGGAAAACAGGGCCAGGCATGGATCCTTTCTATCTATTGTAAAAATGTCACTTTACCAGTCACCAAGAAAAGCTTTCCAAAGAGGTTAGGAGATCTGGAAGGGGACGAAGAGCTGCATGCCTAAGTGTGGTTATGTCCTTCACTTGGTTACCGGTGGTATGCATGGTATGCTTCTTGGTGAAAATAGAACCAGCATCAGTTGCCAACATGCATTAGACCTGCAACAAAAGGGGAAAAAATTATCAACTATGTTAATAAATACATGTATATGTAATCAGTGATTACAGAGCTTAACTCAACTTAAGGCAAAATCCTACATTACACTATTTATCTTGAAGTTTACATCCAAAAAAGAAGACCAAGTAATCTAGACATAATTAAATATCAAACTTGTACTTCTGAGGTCTGTGAAAATTAAATCCAAAATGTATATTAATTAGTTAAAAGTTTAAAAGAAGAATACATTAAACTGTGCACTCACTGAATAGGTGTCATGGAAACTCAACTTTGGATCTTTGTGAGTCTGGAGGGGCACCTCTTGTAAAAAGAAGTAGACTGATTCATCATCTAAAAAAAAACCAACAAGATAGACTAAATTACATTTAAATGAAATAAAAACTGTTTAAGAAATAAAGTCCGCGTTTTCGTGAATGTTGCAGAATAACCTCCGAGGTCGAGAAATGTTGTTTGAAAGATAAAAGCCGAGGCGCTAGCCGAGGCTTTTATATATTTCAAACAACATTTCGAGACCGAGGAGGTTATTCTGCAGCATTCATGATAACAAGGACTTTATTTCTATTCTTCCACGTTTGGTACAAACGCTAAATTAAGGATAATCGTTTCCTCTATAGAGAAACAAATTAGGTCACCATGTCTCGATTACACTGTTTCATTTAACACCAGAGGTAAAATTTGTTTGCTTACTTGTGTATAGAATGCAGACGATTTGAGCTTTCGTTACATTAAAAATATCCTTTTTACAAATTACAAATATGTTCATAATATGTATTGATAAGTTAAAATGAATATACAATAACAAAATCATGTTCCTGTTTTACTGCTAAAATCACGTTGTTTAATGTGTAGGGAGGTCTGTAGCCCCGCTTAGCTATAAAAACCGACATTCTTCAGCAACTTGATGCAATTTACAGTGTTTATAATGCAAAAGACGACACATCGATGCGGTCTAAACACGTATTTCATTCTACAGCCAAACATGCATTTGAATTGTTCAGATTTGATACGTGTTTCTGATCTGATAATTTTTTGATGACGTTCGTGATTTATTGGAGAATAATGTCCGGTGGTTTCCTTTGATGTTTTGAATAATCGTGGTAGAATAAAATATAATTATCAACAAAAAAATTAAAGATCTATAAAAAGATATCATTTGTAAGAATTTTTTTTTTAAAGACACGTACAGTTGATCTCTAAAATAAAAAAGAGGAAGTTATAAGACTTTGAAAGGGTGAACTGTAATTTATTCATTGCTCAAGATAATCATCCTATTGCATATTACGAAATGTACAATAATATTTACTAAGGAAATGAATGGTTGTACATATGAAATCATTGACTGTGTGTTTTGAATTCAAAAGTTTGAAATTTGTATGTAATACATAATTTGTGAATTGCCTTCCATATTATAAATTTTGTTTTATGCTCTGATTCTATTCAATCAGGCAAATGGGGGAAATATGAACATTATGTATAATTGTATGTGTTAATAATTGTGTTTTAATTCTTATACATGTATTAAAGAATGGTTCAGTTTTTATTATTAATCTCATTAAATTATTTTGATCATTTATCTTCATTTTTTTACCTGTCTGATAAACACAGCAAAGGTTACAGAGGCAAATTACAGGTGTCAAAACTCTCTGTTGATGACCAGACTGCATCCAGCATTGTATATCCACCATTACTGATCTTTAACAGGGGAGACTACTACTGAAATCAGAGAAATTATAGTCAAAATGAGAGTTACCTTATACTCTTTAGGATTCACACATAGAAATTATTGACTATATGCTACTTTATAGCTTTATCAAATTTATTAACTAGACCCTCTGCAGTAAATTAATGTAAGAGAAAATAAAAAGTAATACATGTACTTACACAAAAATTTGAATAGGAAAAAAGCACACCTGATGCAGCTTTAAAAAAAAAAGAAAAGAAAATTGACAGTAAACATATCTTCTTTGAAATCAATCTGATTAAAATCAGATCTTTGATTTGCTCCGAAATTCTGATAGTCGCTGTACAGCTTGATATACACCTGGGCTCCACATGTTGACAAACAGACTACACACCATCCAGGGAGCTGCTTCATGCACATGTTAAAGGACAGTTTCCTTTAGTTCAATGGAAAAAGCCTGCTTAATATATGATATTCCTCTTATATGAGTCCAAAATTAATACTGTAGGCCTAAAAATGTGATCAATTAAATAATAAAAAGAAATTGCCTTTCTCTATATATAGAACTGTAATTAACTTAATTCATTGTGATTGATATTTCCTCAAGTAAGATATTTGAGATAGCCATACAAATCAGCTCTTGTAATTTTCATCACATACCTGTATGGCAATTCCAGGACAATCCATTGATATAAAATTCTGATGTCCAGAAAAACAAAGGGCCCCTCTCGAGAAAGTACTGCTCTAATTTACAAAATTATCATCCATAATGTGTGGGGCACTGAAAAAAGGATATAGAGTGTCTACCATTAAAATTATTATAGTCTTAAATTGTTTAATTACATAAACATAGGAAATAACGTAAGTTACCCATATAATTAAGCATTTCACATAATAACATTGTTTTTTTTTGGGGTGACTGTTATATGTCAATGGTCTCATGCTACAGTATTATAAACATGAGACCATCTATGTTTGTGACTGTCATATGTCAATGGTCTCATGCTACAATGTTGTAAACATGAGACCATGCCTGTTTAAGACTGTTATATGTCAATGGTCTCATGCTACAGTGTTGTATACATGAGACCATCTATGTTTGTGTAATACTGTAACATGTCAATGGTTTAAGACTGTTATATCAAAATGTCTCATGCTACAGTATTGTAAACATGAGACCATCTATTGTAGACTTAAGACTATTATTATGTTTTTTTTTGGGATGAATATGTCAATGGTCTCATGCTACAGTGTTGTAAACATGAGACCATATATGCTAAAGACTGTTATATGTTGATGGTCTCATGCTACAGTGTTGTATACATGAGACCATCTATGTTTGTGACTGTTATATGTCAATGGTCTAATGCTACAGTATTGTAGACATGAGACCATCTATGTTTCAGACTGTTATATGTCAATGTTCTCATGCTACAATGTTGTAAACATGAGACCATGCCTGTTTAAAACTGTTATATGTCAATGGTCTCATGCTACAGTGTTGTATACATGAGACCATCTATGATTGTGACTGTAATATGTCAATGGTCTCATGCTACAGTATTGTAAACATGAGACCATGCCTGTTTAAGACTGTTATATGTCAATGGTCTCATGCTACAGTATTGTAAACATGAGACCATCTATGTTTAAGACTGTTATATGTCAATGGTCTCATGCTACAGTATTGTAAACATGAGACCATGCCTGTTTAAGACTGTTATATGTCAATGGTCTCATGCTACAGTATTGTAAAAATGAGACCATGCCTGTTTATGACTGTTATATGTCAATGGTCTCATGCTACAGTGTTGTAGACATGAGACCATCTATGTTTAAGACATGTTATATGTCAATGGTCTCATGCTACAATGTTGTAAACAAGAGACCATGCCTGTTTAAGACTGTTATATGTCAATGGTCTCATGCTACAGTATTGTAAACATGAGACCATCTATGTTTTAGACTATTATATGTCAATTGTCTCATGCTACAATGTTGTAAACATGAGACCATGCCTGTTTAAGACTGTAATATGTCAATGGTCTCATACTACAGTGCTGTATACATGAGACCATGCCTGTTTAAGACTGTTATATGTCAATGGTCTCATGCTACAGTATTGTAAACATGAGAGCATGCCTGTTTAAGACTGTTATATGTCAATGGTCTCTTGCTACAGTATTGTATACATGAGACCATCTATGTTTGTGACTGTAATATGTCAATGGTCACATGCTACATTGTAAACATGAGACCATCTATGTTTAATACTGTTATATGTCAATGGTCTCATGCTACAGTGTTGTAAACATGAGACCATTTATGTTTTAGACTGATATATGTCAATGGTCTCATGCTACAGTGTTGTATACATGAGACCATCTATGTTTACGACTGTTATATATCAATGGTCTCATGCTACAATGTTGTAAACATGAGACCATCTATTTTTTACGACTGTTATATGTTAATGGTCTCATGCTACAATGTTGTAAACATGAAACCATGCCTGTTTAAAACTGTTATATGTCAATGGTCTCATGCTACAGTGTTGTATACATGAGACCATCTATGTTTCAGACTGTTATATGTTAATGGTCTCATGCTACAATGTTGTAAACATGAGACCATGCCTGTTTAAAACTGTTATATGTCAATGGTCTCATGCTACAGTGTTGTATACATGAGACCATCTATGTTTAAGACTGTTATATGGTAATGGTCTCATGCTACAATGTTGTAAATATGAGACCATGCCTGTTTAAGACTGTTATATGTCAATGGTCTCATGCTACAGTATTGTAAACATGAGATCATCTATGTTTCAGACTGTTATATGTCAATGGTCTCATGCTATAATGTTGTAAACATGAGACCATCTATGTTTGTGACTGTAATATGTCAATGGTCTCATGCTACAGTATTGTAAACATGAGACCATGCCTGTTTAAGACTGTTATATGTCAATGGTCTCATGCTACAGTGTTGTAGACATGAGACCATCTATGTTTAAGACTGTTATATGTCAATGGTCTCATGCTACAGTGTTGTATACATGAGACCATTTATGATTGTGACTGTAATATGTCAATGGTCTCATGCTACAGTGTTGTAAACATGAGACCATGCCTGTTTTAGACTGTTATATGTCAATGGTCTCATGCTAGAGTGCTGTACATGAGACCATCTATGTTTATGACTGTAATATGTCAATGGTCTCATGCTACAGTAATGTAAACATGAGACCATTTATGTTTCAGACTGTTATATGTCAATGTTCTCATACTACAATGTTGTAAACATGAGACCATGCCTGTTTAAAACTGTTATATGTCAATGGTCTCATGCTACAGTGTTGTATACATGAGACCATCTATGTTTAAGACTGTTATATGTTAATGGTCTCATGCTACAATGTTGTAAATATGAGACCATGCCTGTTTAAGACTGTTATATGTCAATGGTCTCATGCTACAGTATTGTAAACATGAGACCATCTATGTTTCAGACTGTTATATGTCAATGGTCTCATGCTACAATGTTGTATACATGAGACCATGCCTGTTTTTAAGACTGTTATATGTCAATGGTCTCATGCTACAGTGTTGTAAACATAAGACCATCTATGTTTGTGACTGTAATTTGTCAATGGTCTCATGCTACAGTATTGTAAACATGAGACCATGCCTGTTAAAGACTGTTATATGTCAATGGTCTCATGCTACAGTGTTGTATACATGAGACCATTTATGATTGTGACTGTAATATGTCAATGGTCTCATGCTACAGTGTTGTATACATGACACCATCTATGTTTAAGACTGTTATATGTCAATGATCTCATGCTACAGTGTTGTATACATGAGACCATCTACGTTTGTGACTGTAATATGTCAATGGTCTCATGTTACAGTATTGTAAACATGAGACCATCTATGTTTCAGACTGTTATATGTCAATGGTCTCATGCTACAGTGTTGTATACATGAGACCATCTATGTTTGTGACTGTAATATGTCAATACAGTATTGTCTCATGCTACAGTATGGTCTCATGTACAGTGTTGTAAACATGAGACCATGCCTGTTTAAGACTGTTATATGTCAATGGTCTCATGCTACAGTGTTGTAGACATGAGACCATCTATGTTTGTGACTGTAATATGTCAATGGTCTCATGCTCCAATATTGTAAACATGAGACCATGCCTGTTTAAGACTGTTATAAATCAATGGTCTCATGCTACAGTGTTGTAAACATGAGACCATCTATGTTTAAGACTGATATATGTCTATGGTCTCATGCTACAGTGTTGTAAACATGAGACCATGCCTGTTTTAGACTGTTATATGTTAATGGTCTCATGCTACAGTATAGTAAAAATGAGACCATCTATGTTTAAGACTGTTATATGTCAATGGTCTCATGCTACAGTATTGTAAACATGAGACCATGCCTGTTTATGACTGTTATATGTCAATGGTCTCATGCCACAATGTTGTAATCATGAGACCATCTATGTTTAAGACTGTTATATGTCAATGGTCTCATGCTACAGTGTTGTAAACATGAGACCATGCCTGTTTAAGACTGTTATATGTCAATGGTCTCATGCTATGTAATTGTTATATAGAGACCATGACAAGTATATAGTGTATTGTAGTCCTTGGTCTCTTGTATGTAATTGTTATATAGGGACCACGACAAGTATATAGTGTCTATAGTCCCTGGTCTCTTGTATGTAATTGTTATATAGAGACCGTGACAAGTATATAGTGTATTGTAGTCCCTGGTCTCTTGTATGTAATTGTTATATAGAGACCGTGACAAGTATATAGTGTGTTATAGTCCCTGGTCTCTTGTATGTAGTTGTTATATAGAGACCGTGACAAGTATATAGTGTGTTATAGTCCCTGGTCTCTTGTATGTTATTGTTATATAGAGACCATGACAAGTATATAGTGTATTATAGTCCCTAGTCTCTTGTATGTAGCTGTCATATAGAGACCATGACAAGTATATATAGTCATTTCAGTTGGTTAAAACATTAAAAAATGATCACCATGGCTTTCTATGTGAAAATCTGCATTTTAGACCATGAGAAGATTTATGTTATGTTACACTGTCACTTACTTCCAGCTTAATTAATAGGCTGTAATCTGAAGATACCATAGGGCTTAATCCCATGCTGCACGTAGGCAATGCAAAAATGAAAGTAGCCTCGTTCTGATTAGTCACGTGATAGAAGAGACCACGGTCTCATCGCTGTTTTTGTATAGTAAATATACCATAATAGCACGTGACCAACTTTTGACAACAAACAAAATGGTGCACGACTACTGGGCACGCACGACTATAGGACCTTCAACCATACATGTGTTCATTTTTAAATAATTAAATTTTGGTTGTAACTTGTCATTTGATTGGATAAAAAATTAATCTAAATTGTATAATCTGGTTTGCTTACGTCACAATGACTTGCGTCAAAATCGTATCAATCCACTTGACTTTATGTTTAAAATATGTACATGAACAATTTGAAGGCGTTTTAAAGAGAGAAATTGTCTTGTTTTATATTCTTAATGATTGAAAATTAAATTATAAGGAATGAATTAAATAGCAATCCAAATTATACTGTATAACCTGGGTTGGAGCAGTTTATGCTTTTTTGTAAACCGCTTCGCCGTTTATAAAGTATAAACTGCCCCAACCCAGGTTATACAGTATAATTTGGGTTGCTATTTAATTCATTCCTTAATGATTTAGGGAATTGGCATGTTTTGGGATCCAAAATCAGCCTGAACTGATGCCCTATGGAGCATTTCGTTCAGACAGTAAGCATATGTTTGTAAAATTACTGGTAAAAAAGTTGTTTGCTCTGATGAAAAGAATGTAAAAGATCTCGGTATTCTTTTAAACGTCATTTATGTCTTGACTGGTCAGTAAAGCTACAAATCATTGAAAAGTAAATGGCATTCTTTAATATCAGTGACTTTACCTCATTTACATGTACCACCATAATTAATGTGTTCAGATATATTTTCAGTATACCTCACTTATTACATCACTATATTCAAATTATTCCTGTAAGTTTAATGGTTCTATAATAAAATCCCACACAATATTGCTTTGTAATTTGTTTGATCTTCTTTGAAAGTCAGCTAACAAAATTATAAAGTATATGGAGTATAAAGAAGACAAGCAAAATTCTACAGGAGGAATACAATGGAGATATTCCAGAGTCTGTGGAGAAGTTATGTAAGCTGCCAGGAGTTGGACCCAAGATGGCCTATCTGGTGATGAAGTGTGCCTGGAATCAGGTTCAGGGTATTGGAGTGGACACGCATGTTCACAGGATTTCCAATCGGCTCGGCTGGGTCAAACAGCCAGAGGATACAAGGAAAGCAAATGTTTCATTTTATAATATTTACATTTGATACAGACAAATATGAAGCCATTAAGGATGTGTGATTTTATCAGTCGAGTTATGTCCAAGACATGATGTAGTTACGATATCGACACATTACTTTTTTGTTTTTTACTAATATTTCTTTATCCTTGTGTGTTTATTACAATACTTTCTGTTTTAACAAGTTTTCCTTACTGTCAATATCCATGATATCATACCGATATCGAATCATGATTGTTCAAAGAATTATGGTTTCCATGTGCAATACTAGTATTTGAAAACTATCTTTTATTAAACTTTCTCTGTAGTGTCGATATCGTCGATATCGACGATGTCGCTTTCGATATCGAATCATGTTTGCTCAGCTCTTGGTAAATACTGTCTCTGTTACTTTGTACGTGTATTAATGTTTCATAACTTTAATTTTACGAAGATTGTACCTGCCATCGATATCGTCGATGTCGACGATATCGTATCGATATCGAATCATGATCGTTAAAATATATTACTTAACCAACCTTCATCCTAATACAAAATCTTTATTTTTAACATATCCCATGACAATAAGTTCTGTTTCTTCATGCAACGCTTGTGCATATTTACTTTCTGATTACATGTATTTAGTTTACCCTACTGTCGATATCGACGATATCGTATCGACATCGAATCATGATTGTTAAAACATATTTAACAACTTTCACCCTCAATCAACATCTTACTGTTAACGTAATCTAAAACAATAACAACCACTAACCCTTTCCTTATCAAAATTTAATTTCCTATTCATGCTAATAATGAATGAATTTGACATCACTTGTGACCTTGTAAAATTATGTTATACCTCATTGTGAAAATAAGTTATACAAATAGGATCGATATCGATACGATATCGTCATGTTATTGTCGATATCGACGACATCGACATAGCTCAAAGTCTCATATATGGTACCAAGTATTTCAATTAAATTAATAGTGCTCATCATGATCGATATCGATACGATATCGACTTAATATTGTCGATATCAACATCGAATTCGTTCTTGGACATGTATGTATCAGTCTAGCTTGAATAAGAGTACAAAAAAAGTATTAATTCATTCTACATGTACAGTGGACCTTCAGATATCCGGACGCCAGATATCCGGATGCTTCAGTATCCGGACGATTTCTCATCTGCATGAAATTTTAAAATGTTATTCTGTCTTGTTTAACTGGTGATTCAGATATCCGGATGCTTCTCATATCCAGACAAATTGACTGGGAACCAAAGCGTCCTGATAAATGAGGGTCCACTGTATACTGTAAAATCACATATTTTCGTGGGGTCAAATTTTGGTGGTTTGAGGGAAAAAGATTGGTTCATGGGGATTACATTTCATGGATGGAGAATTGTTCAGTAGTAATATATAATTGAAAAATTACATTTCAAGGTGGACATAAATTCATGGGTCTGTTCATACCTCGATATCAACGGAAATTAACCCCCGGAGAATTAGTGATTTTACAGTATATTTCTTCTTACATTTACTTTGAATCAATAGCAAAATGTTAATAATGTTCATGCAGGGTAACATTAAAGGTCACTAATCAAATTTCCTCTGAACAGTATATGGTTTTTCACCACTCCTGGATAAGGTAATCACCTGTCAAACTTATGTTGCAGGGAAAACTGGAGTGAAATCAATCATTTACTGGTTGGGTTTGGACAACAGACTTGTCTACCAGTAGGACCAAAGTGCTACGAATGCCTGAATAAACCCATCTGTCCCTTTGGCAAAACAAATAAAAAGACACCTTCCCCAAAGAAAATCAAGAAGGAGGAAATCAAAGAAAAAATTATTGAATTTATATTGTACATCTGCAGCTTCTTGGCAAAAGCTTACCAGTACTTAAAGAATAAGTTTTTGGGTCACCTGAGTAAACTCAGGTGACCTATTACTATCCGTTTTCGTCTGTTGTCCATCGTGTGTTAACATTTGACCATTTTCAGTTTCTTCTCTGAAACCGCTGAACAAATTTCAATCAATTTTGGCATATAGCATCTATGGGTAAAGGGGAACAAAAATTGTGAATTTCATGGTCCCTGCTCCCCTGGGGCCTGGGGGTGGGGCCAAAACCACTAAAATTAATGCAATCTTCAAAAATCTTCGTCTTTACTCCCGGACATCAAGCATTCAAACTGTTGGTATGATTGTAATCAGCAATAAGTCCTCTACTAAAATTGTGAAATCCATGGCCCCAAGGTCAGGGGTTCTAGTGCTAGGATGGGGCTAAATAGATTATATAGTGAAAATTCATTATTTCTTTGAATTTCTTCTTCTCTGCTCCAGGGCATTAAATAGTCTAACCAAGTGCATAGTTCAGTTAAATATGGCTGCTTCTCCCAAATTTGTGAATCTCATGACCCCAGGGTCAGGGGTTCTAGTGCTAGGGTGGGGCTATATAGATTTTATAGTGAAAATGCATAAATTCTTTGAAATTCTTCTTCTCTGCTCATGGGCATTAAATAAACTAACCAAGTGCATGGTTACGTTGAATATAGCTGCCTCTTCCAAAATTCTGAATTTCATGGCCCAGGGGTCAGGGGTTCTAGTGCTAGGGTGGGGCTATATAGTTTATATAGTGAAAATGCATAAATTCTTTGAAATTCTTCTTCTCTGCTCATGGTCTTTAAATAAACTAAACCAAGTGCATAGTTCTTTTGAATAAGGCTGCCTCTTCCAAAACTGTGAATTTCATGACCCAGGGTCAGGGGTTCTAGTGCTAGGATGGGGCTATAAAGATTATATAGTGAAAATGAATTATATCCTTGAAAATCTTCTTTTCTGCACCTGGATATTAAACCAATGAACTATGTACATAGTTTTCAGGAGGAAGGATGATGCCTCTTTGAGATTTGTGAATTTCATGGCCCCGGGTCAGGGCTTCTTGTGTTAGGGCGGGGCTCTAATGTTTATATATATAATGAAAATGCATGAAATCTCTGAAAAATCTTTTTCTTTGCTCCTGGATATTATGTTAATGATAAAAGTACATATTTATGTTGAAGAAAGCTTCCTCTTCGTAAATGGATTAATTTCCAGGCCCCTGGGTCAGAGGTATTTGGAGGGCGGGGAGTGTGGGTGGGGGGGGGGGGGTACATAGTCTGAAAATAAATTAATGCTTTGAAATCTGCACTTTGGTCTTAATCAACAATTTTTGATGAACTAAAATTTAAGATGAAATTTCCAAAGTTTTGAAATAATTGGCCCCAGGGGTAGTGGTTTCTGTGGGGAGGGTGCACAATTGGTGATTATAAAGTTAAAAGGCATTTTCTCTTTCTCTGATCTACCTCTGGGTGTTAAGTAACCAAAGTAAACATGCTAAGTGTATAATTATGATAAACAATGGTGTCTCTTTCAAAATTGTGAATTTCATGGTTATTGGTTTAAAACACAAACCAAATTCAACTGCTGGCAGTTGTTATGTGATACTGAGGTGACCTATAAGGCCCAAGGGCCTCCTGTTAGTTTATGTCAACATATTTCCATCGGTTATATTTTTAGGTCACTTGAGTCACTCAGGTGACCTATTGCTATCTGTTTTCGTCCGTCGTCGTCCGTCGTTCGTCGTCAATCGGTCGTAAACTTTTGAATTTTTCAGCTTCTTCTCTGCAACCACTGAACCAATTTCAACCAAACTTGGCACAAAGCATCTATGGGTGAATGGAAACAAAAATTGTGAATTTCATGATCCCTGCTCCCCTGGGGTTTGGGGGGTGGGGCCAAAACCACTTAAATTAATGCAATCTTTAAAAATCTTCTTCTTTACTCCTGGAAATCAAGCAGTCAAACTGTTTGCATGATTGTATTCAGCATTGAGT